GATTTTATAATTTGTGTAAGTGTGTTTTAACAAAATTTTATTGAATCGATATTGAGTTATAAAAATAAAATTAAATTAAGTAACTATTCAGTATTTAATCGTAAAGCTCATCGCAAAAAAGGTTCTGCCAGTTTATATGTGTAACTAAAGTAAAATTTAAGTATTAGTTTTCGTATTTTTCACAGTTTTGTATTGCTGGAACTGAGTCCTCCATAGCAAAAGTTTATCATAACTAAATTTTCCTAAATAGAAAATTTGTGTGCGGCATCTTTCTACATGCTGATATTAAAAATTAAAATTTAGTAATGATTTTGCATAAGAAGTCAAGTCTCGCACTCAAAATTTCTTGATAACTTTGCGCAGAAAAAATCTTTCTGCTAGTGGTGCCCAAGATATAATGTCAAAGATCATAGAAACTGACAATAAAAAGTTGATTCAATACGATTAAAATATTAGGGGTATTCTCGCAGTCTTGCAAAGCCCTTGCAAGGTGCACAGATTGCATGGTGAAAACTGGTTTTTCTATGAGTCAGCTTTGCAAACCGTGCAATCCGTGCACCGTGCGTACACACACTTATGTACTTATCGTCACCTTAAACCGAAACTGCGTTTTTTACAAATTTTGGTAGGATGTTTTAAAATACACCTTCAATAAAAATTTTAAAGTGTTAATACCAAAACCAACGGAGTAATATTCCACTTTTTAAAAAGCCCTACCTGTTTTATCGTGTTTTTCGCTTCTCCGATAAAGTAAACAACTTGTTGGTTAGCGCCTGTGTGAATTAAGGTAACGATTTGTATGTATGTATTTTTTCATTTCAAGGAGCAACATAATAAGGTGTTACTTATGTTTTGTTAATAAGAAAAATATTGTATTATGTTGATTTTTAAGTAAAATCGAAAGAAATAAACAAAGCTACTCAGATATAATCAGAATCTGGTTAATCGCATTTTTTTATTAATCAGGATTATGATTAATAAAAGAAATATTTTTTATCGATTTATCGCACATCCCTAATCATCACCATATTTTCTGAATGTCTTGGCACCCAGGATAAATCATCATTTCTTAGTTGCAATTTGTATTGCTGAATTAATTCTGAAGTATTTACATGGCTGCGCATTGGCTTTAGTGCGGCTTAGCTGTAACTACAGGCGCGTAAACACTTGCTTCTCCACATATGTTACACCATATAGTTGATGGACTTGATGATTGCAAATACCTCAGCTAAGAAAACTGAGCCTATAGTATCCTAAAAAATTTTAATATAGTTCCCATGACGTTCTATATACATAGACTCCAGATCCTGGCCCTGTACCGCTTAAATAGCCTTCAATAATAATTCTTCAATGGGTAAGACCGGGCTCAGTAACAGGATTTAGCCAGCAGTCAGTGAACTCAACATTGAAATTCTCTTCACCAAAAAGGCGTTTACGTAATTTTCGCCTATCTTAACACGTTCCGCATCAAAACCCACTTTGTTTAGGCCTCCAAGTGGATTTAAGGAAAGGTCCACGTTTTATAGGAAAAGCTGCCGTACAGCTCACCTAGATCGTTGCTTCAAGTTTGGTACGCGGAGTTATAAAAATTCTACTCGACGCATAGCTGTTAAGTTTTTTTATGTTTTTATTCAACGTAAAACCTTCATAAAAGTTAACTAAATCTCCAGCAAGACACCTAAATATTAAAAAAAAAACTGAAGAAAGACTCGGTTAAGTGTAGGGGAATAGGTTCATCCAACCTTCTTCTTCTTCTACTGAAGCGGCCAACGCTAGTTTTGGTCGGACCACGGACAACCGACTCTCACCGCACCATGTGACTAGCTTTTTGACCAAAAATTATGACTTAAGCCCACTGTAAAATAATGATGAGTTGGAGAAAAGTCATATTAGAAGTTTACTACTTACTAAGTATGAATACTAACCTTTAAGCTTAATAAATCTTTACAATCAACATTCTCAATATTGTATATACGTATTCAAACAGAATTGACTCTCAGGTATGTTGTAGTGTTGGTCAGTATCTATACAAAAAATTACTCAAAACTCGATTCTTAAAATGAGCGACAGTACCCGAGTATTCCAAAATACTCAGTATGTACTCAATAAGAACTCAAACGTACTCAGAACTTAATTGAACCCAAAAGTGCTTAGTACTCAAAGATACTCAGAATTGATTCGAATATAAACTTAAAGTACATAGTTCTATTTACAATAAAAGTACTATACTTGTTCCAAGTACAGTTAGCCAAAACTTAGTACTGTGAAAATACATACATATAAAAGAACGGAAAATTAATCATTCATTTGATTTAACTAGTAGTAATTAATTTATTAAATTTGATAAAGTAAAATGCTGCCAACTGCATAGAAATGTTGCCAACATGTGTATACTTAAAAAAGTACTCAATATTTTTGAAAATACCCGACCCTAAAAAAA